CATGGACCTACTGAAGGCTCGGCCAAAGAACTATTGCAAGACCAGATGTGCCCCCCAGAATGGGGAAAACTGATTATGAATCACCAGTAATGCGGAGGATTAAAGCTGGATTCCTGCTGAATGATACTGTATGTTTTTTGCCTTGCCTGATTCCCCCTTAATGATCACCAATTGCCGAAGATTGGGAGATCCCATTGCGGGGATCTACCAACTGGCAAGAATGATTTGTTCCAGCCTTGTCATATCTTGAGAATCCTTGAGATGTATTCACCGTGGAGTTGGGAGTGGCAGCTCAATTTAGTGGTTCATCATGCCATAAATGTAGGTACCTCATGTCCCAAGAATAACTTCTGGAAGGATGTGGAAGGTTCACAATGTTGTTTTTGTTTTTTGGGTCTCCGAGGAGAGGCCTTCAAGACTCCACATGAGCGGCCAGGAACCACCTGTGCGAGTGGCCAAATTTCAACTGGCGCAGCCACAAGGCCTTTCTATACAGATGCGATTGGTGCTGGGGAGCTAGCGGTGTACTCGGAAACATGGACGGTGATTGATCTGACCAATCCCATCACCCGAATATTAAATACCTGCTAAAGGTTCCAAATATATTTAAATCCCCACTAAAGCATACTAAAGCATGGTTTCTCGGGGAAGGGACTATAGTTACTGCAACTGTGGGTTTTTGAAACAACACATGGCCCAGTGATGGTTGTTGCTTCAGGTTGGGGTTGGGGCTGCGGCTGCAACCCCAACTTCCAACCGCAAACCCCAAAATGTTCGACTAAACCAGTTCCAAGCCACCGAGTCAACCAGCCGCATGTGTGTAGGTGTTTGTTAAGATCATCTAAGCGGATTCATATCATAATATATATATATCATAATAGCTGGCGGACTTATATTGCTTGACTAACTAAAATATAAGTTGCCAACTCATTGGCATCATTGAGCCCTAACCAACCAATATACCGTTGACCGTTGGTGGTTCCAATGCTCAAAAAACACACCAGGTCTCGGCAATGGTTCCGCAGTGCAGTCTGCAACAAAGGTGTTGGCAACTCAGTTTGACCCGGGACAGTGACAGCCGTGGTCAGTTTGACCAAAAATAGTGGTGCTATGACCCAAAACAAAAAGGTTGTTTTTGGCCGATAAAAAAGGTGGTTTTTGGCCGATAGTCAGATAGTCAATCAATGAAACTGGTCCGATAGTCTCGGGATGAGTTGGAACCACCAAGCAGTTTTGATCTGCGGTACCTATCTATAGCAGCGACCTGATAATAAATCCATTCGGATACGGGCGATATCTCGCTTGTAGGTGTTAAATGTGCTCGCTTGTAACTCCAAGATGTGCTCGCTTGTAACTCCTTTTTGCTGAAGGTCCAGACACTTTATGGTCATGTTGGAATGAGAAGACCAATTGAAAAGCAGTGGCACATGGCAAGTCTGGCAATTCTAAGACCAAGATGTTCTAGAGTTTGAGAAAGTCCACGCTATTGTCATGTTCGAGAACATCTGAAGGGCAAAGTCTGCAATTCTAAGACCAAGAGCTCAAAGCGTAGCATATAGACGTGCGCAACAGCCAAAGAATATTATCACACCCACCCCACCCCACCCTATTGGGTTTGCACATTTGTTAGCCCCTAGCAATATCTGACAATCCAACATAGCAATAGGTAATACGCAGTTTCAATAGGTAGATCATCTACAAATGGCCATCCATCTACATGGCATTTTGATATATTTTGATGCCATTTTCCAGCGAGCCATGTTAGGTTACAACAAGATAAACTGCCATAACATGCCATGACCCCGTGTTTGCCGGTTGTAGCCCGTCGGTTTCAAGACACCTTCCGAATTGAGGCCCCAGCGGAGCGAACAGCGGAGCGAGGCAGTAGCCAAGAAACACAAAAAAGGACATCTTATGGTGTGTATATATATATATATATATTGTTAGATATATGTACGTATTCATTATACTATATTATATTATATTATATCATATTATATTATATAATATTATATATATATGTGATTTTATTTTATAGTATATTGTATATAAGCGCGTTTTTTTTGTGCATATTATTGTATATAGTTTCGTAAACTTAATATAAGTCGTTCTAAGTTTATGTAATTTAAGTACAAGTGATAATCCATAACTGGTCGGGATGATGGTCTCACTTGACTAGTTGTTCCTTTTCCCTTTTAAGGAAGCTGAAACGAAGGACCAGATGGGAATATAGGTGATACAAAAACACACCCCAAAAATTCCCCAAGAAGATAGAATATGATGTCAAGTTTCAGATGATTTTGGCATTTAGAATCATTGAAATTGATTTTTTGTTTGTTGTGCGGCCGGATGGACATACTACGAGCCTACCAACAATGAGATGCTATAGTCCAGAGGTCACATAGGATCAAAACTAAAAGAGGGCACTTATGCATATCGAGCAGCCTGAGCTGCTGAGTATGAAAACACACCAACCGAAGGGTGTTTCTGGACGTTTCTGATGTTTATGGATGAATCTTAGGTGAATTCTATAGGTTTTCAATATGTGTTTCAATAGATTGATTGGTTAAAAGGGAACATCTGCAGGAAACAATGGTTTTTAATCACCAATCATAGGGGTTTCCTTTAGATTTTCCCCCAATCCAATGAGTTTTAGTTGTCATCCAGACGCGTGGCCAGGCACGACCAGCAACTGGAGGATCTGGGTGTCCTCAAGGCGGACCGCCTTGATTCAGCATCAAAATTTAGGGCATTCTAAGACAACCCATGACAAAACCATATAATTAATCCATAGTGTTTATATATATATATATATCATATAATCCATAGTGTTTATATATACGTATATATATATATATATTTATATGTATATATGTAGTGTATCTCTTAAAATCTATTTAGGTGTATCCCAAGTTTATCAGCTACACAGCCCATGAACATCTCTGGCCGGGGGCCTAAGGGGATGCTCAGGTCCATGTCAAGGCTTTCGCAGCGAAGTGCCCAAGTGGAACCCTGCAGAGGCCGAGTGTGGATGTACCGCATGTTCTTTCAATATCATGGATGATCCGATAGATTTTTGGTGCTTAGAACTGCTACATTATATATATATACACTCTTTGGTCATCTAACACTTTGCTATTTGCTATAGTCAATTTCCCATGGATAGATATGGTTTGACTCTGAAAAACATGCTGATTTTCCGAGTTATGTTGAATTACCCGAGGGTATGCTATTTATATATATATATACATATTTATATTATATTGTGTATATATATATGTATATTGATGGCGTTTCAACTTCGCTAGCACTGGTGGATCCTGAGGCAGCGAGCCGACTGTTGAGCACCGGTGTCCCACCGGGCGCCGTCCCAGGCGCCGGAGGCGCCTCCGGCGCCGCCTCCGGCGCCTCGGCCACGGTGGCCACGCAGAAGGGACCGGAGAAGTCGCAGGTGAGGTTTCAATTTGGGCAATCCTCGTGAAGCCTGGCAGATCCTGGCAGATCCTGGCAGCCATGAAGATTGGGAAATCAGAAATATAGATTATATAGATATATGATTAGATGATTAGACCATATTAGACCATATTAGACTGATGTACGACTGATGATCTTGATGCATCTGCAGGATAGGATTGACCGAAAATGAGGCAGAGCCAAGAATTGTCGTGAATATTGTCCATGAACCATGGCACAAATCTGCTTATAATTTGCCAAGAGTACACTGGGGTTTTTCACCGCCTAGAAGGTCATGAAGCCAAGCGAATCAAAGGTTGCCATTCCTTCGAAGCTGTTGCGCAATCAATGCCTGCCAGTTGAGTTTCATTGTTTCACACTGCGGCTGCGTCCCAAAGATGGTGCCAGCGTTTCGGTCTATATACATGTATAGAAGTATAGAAGGGAAAATTATTTGAGTCCGTTTTGGTGTATGCAGGGAACCATCTTTGAACTATTGAGTTTTATATATTCATAAGAACATGAGGTATTGATGAGTTTCAGGCAGCACTCCATGTTACATGATGTTTCACCGTATTTGTTGCTTATCATTTCATTGTTGACACGTTTCTGTTGCGTGCAATCCCCCCAAAAAAGGTTGTTTGTTTCAAATGCAAACTCTGTTGGTGAAGTTCTGCAAACAGCATGCTTGTTGACACTACGATCTCATGTTGTTGTCTTGCTCGTGGTTATGCGTTTTTCCATTTAATCTCTATGTTTGACTGGTCACATTAGGCATGAATTTGCAAGAAAATCATGAGCCCTCCCGGCTTTGGGCCCTGGACGCAGCGGCCTTCGCGCAATGAAATAGAGTCGTGCCTTCTTTTGCGCCAGACGTGGGCGCCAGACATGGCGACAAAAGGGTGGAGCGTCATGGAGGTCTCAAGTGATCGGTGGATGATGGGGATGAAACACCATCCAGGTGATACAACCAGTAAACAACTGGCTGGTGGTTTTGAGACACATTTTTCAAACACTAATTATTTGGGAGGACGATCCCTGATTCCAGGGATTGGGTTAAAACCACGATCACTAGATAGGATAGTACTAAGACAGTCCCCTGCAAACGGTTGGGTTGGGAGTGTAATTGGGTTGTAGCACCTCTGATATTTGGGGAAGACCGCGATATAAAACAGTTGCCGTCTGCATGTGTAATATTGTACGTACTAGTAAGTTCAGGAGATATCCTAGTATGAGACCTAAACGTGAGCCGACCATACTTTTCAAGTACAACCAAAAATGCATTAAAAAAAACAAAACATAAAATAACATATACCCTCTGGTAAATAAACATAGACCCTGAAAATCACCAATTTTTAATGGAAACTAGTCTTCCAACCCCTATCTGCCAGGGTCTATGTTAATTTACCAGAGGGTAATTATCCAAATCCATATTTTGTAACGTTACTGTTTCCGAAACGGAAAGGCCATTCATCCACGCCATTGGAGATCTACGACGTTTGCTGTTACAAACTTCCCAAGAAAATGCGGAGGATTCTCCACCGCAGGCACAGGAGCTGGAAGTCTCTTGGATGAGCACATCGACCCGGACTACCAACCAACTGAAAAGGAGGTGCCAACCGAAGTGGTAGATTGGATGGCTCAAAGTGGATTAGGACGGATTTCGTATACAATATATACACAACTTGACATTTTTTTGATGCTGTTCAGATTTGGGATGTTCTTTTTTTGAAGGTGTATTTTGTTCGGGCACGCCTGCAGAAAGTATTCCAATCTGAGTTTGTCTGAGTTATGGATAAAAGCAACATAAGCCACGAAGGGACAGAACAGAGGAATGGATGCATCAGGGGTTTCGGCATGGTGGAGGGTCAAAGATCGAAGGCACTATATAGGGCTATCCGCGACAGGTGGAAGAATATGCAGAATGGCTTGGAATGGACGCTTGAAAAAGACGTGGTGCTGACAGCATCGGATGGGAGCGTATGGGTATAAGGCCTATGCTCCCTGGTGGTTCCGGCTGACCATGGCAACAATCAATCAGCTCAAGAACACCCGATTATATAGTGTGGGTGAGATAACAGGCTCAACATGGCTCAAGCCAATCTTCGAACGCGGATCATCGAAGTCAGAAACATTCAAAACATATCAAAACATCGACCTCCCCATGGCTGAATTCAAAATATATCAAAACCTATTAGTGATACCATATTTGGCAGGGATGAACGACTGAACATCCATCAATCCCAGCTATTTGGGTTTGTCTGAAAATAGTGTACCCCTTTTTACCCAATGGTTTTGCTGATCATTATCCCGTTTTTAAATGGCTATTTCATTGGGAATATACCCAACATTTTCAGACAAACCCATATATAGAATGAGTCTATTAACCTCTATTCATAGTTCATGTTATACCCTATCCATTATATACCCTATAATCCCAGCTATTTGTTCGTGTCCACCAGGGGATTTTCCATGGACTTTTGACCCACCGAGGATTTGGAAAAGGATCGGGATCTCTTTTGGATCGCCCGGGCTGGTTTGAAAGCTCCGCTCCTCGGCGGACTCAGCGGCGTTTGGCGTACGGCGAAAAATGTGGGTATTGATCCGCGAAATGAATACATGTGTTTAATTCATTTTAATTCCATACAATAGATCCACATATATAGATCCACACATGGATATATATGTATACATATATATAATTCCTTAATAATATAAGACTTATAGATTTCGAATTGAAACTATAGTTTTTTGAAAAAAAACATGCTATAGAGGATCTTCCATTGTCAGGTTAGATTTGGTTAAATTGTGGAACCTAGATGAAGCCGATGTTACCTAAAGGGGATAAGTTTTAGGATGTATATGGATGTATATCTAGAATCAAACAATCATGTTAAAGGGCACTTTTTTTTGTCCATATTTGTGCCCTGGACGTCAACATATGACGTATGGTATCAGGGACCAGGTCGGAAAGCCCTTGAGATTGCTGCAACTCCCATTCCGCTCCATCCTCATTGTGTCAATTTTCCAGCACCGTCTCTGTTGGTACAAAAAATCACCCTGTTCCTGCCTTCCCAAAAAATATGTCCTTAATCGATGATGACTGATGAATTGCTCCATCGAGGCTTCCTGCGCCTTGGAAGCCCTGCGAGTCAGAGGATGGGGAAATCTTCTACTTCAACTTCGAGACAGGCCGGGGCGGCCTGGGATATGGATAACTAACCCGGAAAATTGGGGGTTTAACCAACACGATTTAATGAGGCTTAACCAGTAAAAATAGTGATATGATGCGGCACCCACCCAGTGCCATAAGCCTCCGATTTGGAGGGTTTGTACCACACTTTTCTGGTATTGGGGATGGTTGATGATTTTGTTAACCATCAGTATTTCAGCAACCAACAATCGATTTGTGTAAGAAACAAATTGGGAGAATGTAACCAGCGAAATAAAGAACAATTGGGATTGACGGTTCAAGATAGGGATATCCGTATATATAGGAAAAGCATGGTTTTGAACGAACTATACTGGGAAGGATAAACCATGGGGCACCCAACTTTACCGCAGTTCAAAGACCCACCTATTGAAACATCAGTTCACGCGACCATGGTTGGTACCAAACCACCTGGTCAGTTTCTGACCCAATGCAGGACCACACCAATAACTTGACCTGCAATCGCATTCTCATGCACAAATGCCAACTCCACGAAAATCCATCTTATCATACCTCCGCTGGTTTCTGGATTTTCTACTATGGTTGCACTGGTGCAACAAACAGATCACAAAGCCCAGGTGAAAGTGTGTGGGATCATCCTTGTGATGAACACTACCGAAAAGTCTACGAGAAGTACAAGGCGCAAGCAGCGCCTGGCGCAGCGCCTGGCGCAGTTTTGGCCGGCCGCGGGGCACGGCACTCAGCAGCGGCCATCTCCGCCAGGCAAAGAAGGAAGCCGACAAAGCGACAGGAAATGATGACAAAAAGAATCTGGGCATCGCCTATCACTTATATACTAGAATTACTATAGACATCTATAGACATCTACAGACTATATCGATTATAAGCTGATTGAGTCCTTTCTCAGCAAATCATTCCGTCCTTCTTGGTCATGTAATTAAATTGAGTGGTGCCATGTTGATCGTTCACATGATCCGATCCGACCTCAGAATGATTAAGGAAAGATAAGAAAGACAAGAAGGAGAAGATACTTGGCATCGCAAGTGGTGCAGGAAACCCAGAGCAGGTAAAGATATATCCAAAGTGGAAGTTCGAGAATTGTCACCGTCCTTGTATGACATTATTTTGCCCGCAATTGAATCGACTCGTGATATTTGCAGGCCATGCATGGCCATGTGACATATCATTTGAGTCCAACATAAACTATGTTTGCAGGCGTTGGTGCTGTCAGTGTTTTTTTACTCTTCTAGCATGGGATGGTCCCTGGTCCGCCCTCGCGAAATCAAGGAAGGAGAAGGACAAAGCTCGAAGAAACAGCATGGGCAGCGGTGACATCCTGGGTTTGAGCGACTTGGCCGACAGCTAAACCTGGATCACTGGAACCCTGGCTGCCCCGGGTACTGCAATACGGTGTGAAAAGTGGGGACCCCAACATCCACTGCTGAATCATTATTATATTTATTATCCAACTTTATCCTATAAATTCCCATATAGTCTCATAATCTCATATTATCCCATATATTATCATATATTATCTCATATGATCTCATATTATCAACATCCAAAATTCTTCTTTTTATAGATCTCCGGTAGCCACACCATGCCATTTCGGCCCCCCAAAAAGCCATGATGGTCAGCGGCGAGGCGGTGACTTTGACGTGCCCAAGATGGATTTGCCGAAGCCTGGGGAGTCGCTCTTTGGAAAACCCAGCAAGAACAAGCGCCTGGGAACGACCAGAGGAAGGGGGGAACGTCTGACTTTGACATCTTTGACTTCCTGGTTTTTGGGGGACATATAAAAGATGGGTCGAACATGGTCGAAGAATGTCGAACATATTGGATAAAACCCGTGGTTTCAAGAGGTTGAAGCTGAAAGGGACTGGACCCCAAGATAGATTGGCATTTTTTGTGAGTTGGCCATGCGGAATGGAACTACGTTTTGACACTGAGAGCCCAGCATAAAGAAGCTCCAGGGAAAAAGCATGTTTTTTTGTTTTTGTTGGGTAATTATTGTTCTTCGACCAGCGGACGCGAAGTAAAGCCAATAGCCAATAGCTAAACCATCCCCAAAGGTGGTTTTTCAACATGTGTAAACATGTGTAAACCATCCCCAAATGGTAGGGTTATTCTTGTATTACCCTCTTGTTTTTTAACATAGCCATGGAAGCCATGGCCCTAATCGAAATAGATGGTTTACCTATTAATAGCATGGTGAATCTTTCCATGGCGAACTGTGAGTCATAACCAGATGGTATTATTGGATTCTTCCATTCCCATAGGATCCATGTATGCTATATATGGTAACATGGATCCCATCAATATACCCCCAATGTTAGCATATATACCAGCACCATGGATCCTATGGGATTGGAAGATATCTAAAAAGCCCGAAAAAATCGTCACCACATGGGACTCCTGGTGCGCCTCGGCTAAACCACGAAGACACGACCCCAGCGAGGCTGGTCTTCGACTGCAAGCCCAAGGCTGGTCGATGGATGCTGGTGGCTAGTATCCCTTAACGTTCATAGCTATTGAAAATGGCCATTTATAGTGAGTTTTCCCATTAAAATTGGTTATTTTCCATAGTTATGTGAAATTACCAGAGGGTACAGCTTTTTGAAGTAGACAAGGCTTGTTCAGCTGGAGTCACTGTTCAGGGAACGCAATGGCTCCTAGAAAAGCAAATGCAGGTAAATGCAACATGTTATGTTGAAATTCCACCGCTTAGCACATAGTAGCACCTAAGGTAAGGAATTGCCCAAGAAAGTTGGGCAGTCACTTGTTTTTTTTCGTCTTTGGAAAGATGGTTAGCAGAACTATCCAAAAAATAGCATCAAAGAAGTAGGTAGCTATCCTAATTTATCCTAATTTCAGGTTGGTGCATTAGTTTATCCGTTTCCTATCCCATGTTTTTTTTTGGGGTGGGTGGTTTTGGCATGACGGGGCAGGCAAAGGCAGAACCTGCGCCAGCTCCTGTGACTTGCCGAGTCATTAAGGAGAACCTGTTCTGAAATGGGCCACCGCATTTTTAAGACGTAGATATGATGATAGATACCATCTGGTTATTTAACATAGCCATGGAAAACCACCATTTTTAATAGGTAAACCATCTATAAATGGGCCATTTTCCATGGCTATGTTAAATAACCAGAGGGTATATATATATAGATATATTGATATACTGAGGCGCATTTTTTCCCTAAAAATGCGCCTCAAAAATGTGTTGAGTATTCGATGTATTCATGTTTGCTGCCCATGTGGCGGCATTTCGTATTATATACGGCATTCTGGGGTTTCAGTATGGATATGGGCGAGTCGTCAAAATTGCACCCATGTTTTGTTGCCCACGAAAGCTGGTCATTTAAACGTATTGAATCATCTCAAGGGTGCTAAACTGGACAAAGGTGCCCATACTGATCGAATAGACATGCTTGCATACTTGTCTTTGATATGCACAACAAAAACTGCTAATAAATTTCATGTCAATTTTGGATGTAGCATTTTTCTATGCCTCTCCATACTCCATATGTTCACTAGTTGTTTTTTCACATATTGCCGCATTTTCTGCTCACGATGGCCCAGGCACCGAAGGGCAACGCTTTCGAGGTGCACAAGGAGAAATTGGAGGTGCCGGGAGAACCAGGTCAGGAAGGGGAAAAGGATGGAAAAGATACAGCAACTACCCTCTGGTAAACTAACATAGCTATTGAAAATTGCCATTTATAGTGAATTTTCCCATGAAAAATTGTGATTTTCCATAGCTACGTTAGTTTACCAGAGGGTACTCAGTATTCAGTATTCCCAAGCAGTCCCTCAAAAAGCTTTATAATTTACCATGGTGGGATGGCACTCTTCAGAACACTTGGGGAGGTGGCGAAAAATTCACAGAGAACAACCGAAGCCTTGGATATGCAGCCCTATGTGTTCCTTTGCGTTCAAAAGATAAATTGAAAATATGTGTTGGGTGTTAGTTACTTGTAGCCTCCAAGAATTTGCTGGTGTTTTTTGGAACCACCGTGTTTGAGGATGCTATAAGATTTGGTCCATGGTGGGCGTTAGACCATGGCCAATATTTTTGTTGAGTGGCCTTGCGCACTGAACCATCAGTGGGGCAGCATTTGCCATGCTTGCATTCTGTCATAGATCCAAAGGCTCAGGCAGGTTTAAGTGCTATGTTGGCAGAACAAATCCAAAAACAGAATTTGCAAGCTACACACTATAATAATCTATAATAGATAATATAGATATGGATCTTATGAGTGAACCTGGTGAAGCTGACATCTGTGACACACCTTTTGGATCCTTTTTGGCATGCTTTGCTGGTTGTTTGAAGTGGCCTCACCCATCAGGTGGAACAGCAAGAGAAATTGCAGAAGTTGGAGAGGGAACATCAGGCGACTGGAACCGGTGGTATTAAATTCAAACCACCGGGAGGGTTGATATGGGTCGATATACTAATCATTCCTATCATCAGTAGTAGTGTTCATTTATGGTTTTCTGTTTTCTTGTTGTTGAAGTTTTACCCTCCAGTAAATTAACATAGACCCTGGCAGATAGGGGCTGGAAGACTAGTTTCCACAAAAACATTGGTCATTTTCAGGGTCCAACTGTTAATTTACCAGAGGGTAACATGTTTTTTAATCGTGTTTTTACCATGTTTTTATATTGCTGATGCTTAAATCCTCCTGCTTGGGACGTCCATGGCATCCACCATGGCATGGCTTTCGGCCAGGAGAAACTCCTGCAGATCCAAGCGGATTTCGAGACCCGTCGGGAAGAGAAGACACAGCAGCTCCGACAAGAGCTTGAGAGGACACAGCAGATCCGATGCACCGATGATCTGGGATCGATGTTTTGGGTTCTTTTGGGGAGTTATATATCGAAGATATACCCTCTGGTTATTTAACATAGCCATGGGAAATGGCCCATGTATAGAGGTTTACCTATTTAAAATGGTGATTTTCCATGGCTATGTTAAATAACCAGATGGTAGTTCTTATATGTTGGTTGGTGGTTTCAAACATGACTGGATTATTTTCTATTTCATATATGGGATGTCATCCCAACCCCATTGACGAACTCATATTTTTCAAGATGGTTAAAACCACCAACCAGTTATATGTTCTGCCAGTATAATTGTACATTTTTTTTAATTAAACGCAGATACATATTAATGATGTTTCCATGTATTGTAATTCTATGACGTCCTGATGATCAATTATGGTTTGTTGTTTTAGTATCATTATTGTGGTTGATGTATCCTTGTTGTTTCAGATGTTTGATTTCTCGGCAAGTGACCAGTGGCCATGGTTTGAAGATGTTTGAAGCTTGCGAAGCCCAAAGATAGTGCCCAAGGTGCCGTCCCAAAGACAAGTCCAATATTCATGAAATGATGCTGTTTGATGCTGTTTGTATACGGCTGTGTCAGCCGCAAGACTTCTAGACAAGTCACACAATTGGTTGTTGAGTGCATCTTTGCCATATCCTGGTGAGCAAGCTTCCGAAGTTATGTGTCTTCTTTAGCACCGGTGACCACATGTTTCATATTGTTCTTCGCGTACAGATGTTAGATACTGTGAATATATGAAAAACTATATATATATATATACACTAGTCTATTTTAGTTTGGCTGGTAGTAGCTGGTAGTTCAAATGGTTTCATTCTTACATCTCATCTATCCAAACATGATTTGACATTTTTCTCAGCTTAAGATATTTTAAGAGTATGTTCCAGTCCCAGCTATTAATCTACATTATATCTACATTATTCCCAATTATACCCTCTGGTAAACTAACATAACTATGGAAAATCACAATTTTCAACGGGAAAATCCACTATAAATGGTCATTTTGAATAGCTATGTTAAATTACCAGAGGGTAGATCATCACTTTCCATGCAACTGGGAGCCCGCAGGAAGAGTAGGGTCGAGGCCGAGCGCCAGGCCAGAGGTACTGGAAGTTGTGAACATAGCGACCTGGTCGATGGCTTAAAAAAACTAGCTGATTTTTCTAGGGAAGTTTAATCTCAACGGAACAAACTATGGTTTATATATGGAGAATATATGGTTTACATATGGTTTACCCTCTGGTAATTTAACATAACTATGGAAAATCACTATTTATAGTGAATGTTCCCATATGTTCCCATGAAAAATTGTGATTTACCTACAAAAAACATGATTGTTCATAACTATGTTGAATTACCTGAGGGATGTCAGATATATTCAGATATAAACGAAGTGAAGGATTTCTTGACTGGAGATTTGAACGTGTTAACTCATATCCTATAGAGACGGTTTTGTTTTCTGACTCAAATGGGGGTCCCCAGTTCTGTCGATGTTATAATCATAAAAAAAAGGGTTCCAAGCGACCGTCAGCGACCGTAGCACTTGCCAATCTGTTTCAACACGGCCTATACATGGCTATAGTATCCAATATATTGGCCGTTGGCACTTCCCTATGCACACCACTACCTTAAAGGTGGACGAGAAGATGAAGATGCTCCGTGAGCAGATGGAATATGACAAGCGCCTGGTCACAGCAGCAGCAGGCACCAGGTTAGGTAGCCAGAAAATGACCATGGATTTTGATGTGATTCAAAGAGACAGGCAGATAGATACTTAGCTAGATTAAAAAACAAAAAACAACAACAACAACATCAAGATGGTCAGCATCATGTGAATTCATGTGATCTAAAGTTTGTATTGTATCCATTAAAGCAG